CTCTGCACTGTGGGAAAGCAGGGTGTCCATGTTCCCAAGCTTGAAAGGTACCTGTGACCTTATACACTGTGTATGGGGCATGTAACTGATTCTCTGCTTCATCGTTTTTGGAGCAGGAAGCCACAGCAGGCAGGACCAATGTCCCTCTGTTTCTGTTGTCCTGGACAGCCAGGTTTCAGGTGTAGCCACAGGAAAATACATGTGTTCCCAGGCCTGACACTCACCCACGGCCCTGTGCTGGGAGGCTGCCAGGTCAGCATCCTCGGGGTGCAGGAGGCTGTACCACGACTGACCCATCAGTTCCTCCCTGTGGTAGCCCAGGTGGTAGGTGACACTGGGGAAAAAAAAGGGAAGGGGGACTAAGCGCAGGGTCTGCACCATGTTGGCAAGGAGCAGCTTGCAAGAGGAGAGAGCAGAACAACAGGGCTATGGAAACGAGGTGCAGACAAGGGAGGGAAGAGGCTTGGGCAGTATCTGGGAGAGCCTCGTGCACACAGAGGCTGCTGAAGGGAAACGATCCTTGCTGCCCGAGGTGTGCAGCTGGGGCTGTGGTGAGAGCAGCCTCACCTCTCCGTGGCACCAGTGAATGTCATGTCTAGGCTGTGTGTGCTCTGGAACAGGTCATCCTGGGAGCCAGCATCCGCAGGCAGCTGCCACACTGGAGTGCAGAGGGCCAGGAAGGCTGCGGTGGAGCGGGAGGGTGGCCAGTGCAGGGCTGCGAAGCGCCCGTGCACCGCCACGGCCCGGTTCCCCCCGTGCTGCAGCTGAAAGGCCTTGGACATGCGCATCTCACACACAAATGTGACTTCTGCAGGGAAACAAACCAGGCAGGGCTCCCTCGCTGGCCCTGGCAGTCCTGAAGGGCTGGAGCAGGGCAGCAGCATCTGCGAGATGCCAGCTGAGGCCTCCCTTACCCCTGCCCGGCTCCTCCTGGGCGAGGAGGAGCTTCTTGCGCACATCCTCATGGGCTTGCTGATCTAGGATGTCAAAGACCGTGTCCCCCTGGGCAAGCAGCTCCACCTGACAAAAGAGGTGCTGCTGTTGTGGTCTGTGTGTGCTCTGTGGAGCCACAGGCACGCAGTAAAGGCACCAGGACAGGTATATGGGGACAGTAACCACAGTGGGCAGGCCTTACCATGGAGAGGCCCAGGACCTGAGCCACGTTCTCTGAGATGTAGACCAGCTTGCCATCGGCCGAGAGCACCAGCAGGAACCCCGGGAGCAGGGAGAGCAGCTCTGTGCCGAGGGCTGGTCCTGGAGGAGGAGCAGAGTCTGCAGGGAATGGATCACAGGGTGAAGCGCTGTTGCTGTGGGGCAGGAGCAGTGCCCCATGCAGAGCCAAGCTTTATGTGGGGTGCAACAGTGCTGTGGGTACCTGGGGGGAAGAGCTGAGCCCTCCGCAGCTGGAGGCACACCAGGGCCATGGTGTGGAGGTAGGAGAGCCGCTCCTTCTCCCGTGCAGAGATGGGCAGCAAGGAGCGCAGTGCCTGCAGCTCTATATTGATCTGGTCCCGGCGAGCCTTGGAGGCACTTTTGGTTGACCTGCAAAGCCAGCACTTGGGAAGGGAGAGGGACAGCATGCCCTGACACGCTGCACGGGGAGAACTGTGAGCTTGGGAATGTGAATGGAGCTGCTTGGTGCCCATGGCAGCTGCCCCTGGGACAGCAAACTTTTGGGAGCTGTTTTGGTCCAAAGGGAGCAGGCAGAGGTGCTCACAGCTACCCAGTGGGACACTGGGTGTCCCTCTTGCTGAGGGCCATGTTGGACAATGGCCTGTGCTTTGGGGAGAGCCCAAGTGACACGACCTCCCCACCAAACCCTGCAATCATGGAAACTGCATCCAGGGCCAGAACGTGAGTCCATCCCATCTGCCTTCACTCTCAACCACCCAGAATCCCTCTGCCCCTCCAAGCTCCCGCGCTGCCTCTCTATGTAACCCTGCTGTCCCAGGCTGGTGCCAGCCCCTTGCAAAGGCCATGGGACACTACGCAAGCTGGTCGGGGCTGTCCCAGCTAGAAGACCTTTCCTCAGCCCTGTGGGAGGGAGGGAGCTCACCTGAATGGCTTGGAGGCCCTGGGCACCTGCTTGCCCCTCCTGGGCAGGCAGCTCATCTCTGTCTGCAGTGGCCTGTGGCAGTGGCTGCAGAAGATGGTCATGCTGCTGGCACTGGGATGCTGCTCCCTCTTTCGCCTCTGGCTGCGTCTGAACCTGCTGACCCTGCTGCTCTCTCCCAGCCTCCTTTTGTACCCTCCTGGGGTGTGCAGTGTTACCTCTCCTGACGCAACCCCAAACAGCCCGGGGCTATTTTTAGAAGGCAGCCTGCTAAAAATAGCCCTGGCAGGCACTGCAATCTGAGAGGGGAAGCAATAAAAGGAAGCCAGGGTCTTTAAAGCAAACCTGGCCTCTCAGGAGGGGGTGCTGATGAAGGTAGCAGGGATCTCCCTGCGGGGCACACATCCGCCCAGCTCCTGCCCCAGTTGTTGCCAGCCCAGCAGAATGTCCATGAGAAGCTGAGGGCCTGTGGCTGGTCCACCCGCCCAGCCGCAGCTCT